TTTCCATCCTCGGTTAAGATTTACAAAAAAAAAAAGCTCTACGCTTGGATTTTTAGTGTACTCTAGATAAGGGGGCGATAATCTCGGTTCGGAGCTTCATTGAAGGGGAGAAAAAGTGGTAAAAAACTGTCCGGCATGTGGGCGTGATTATTATGTATTATGGAAGGCAGGCAAGTTCAATGGACCTGGGTATTTTTAGAACGCCGTTCTTGTACGTTGACACATTAAACTTCCGACTACCATCCTCACAATCTTTCGTTTGAGTTGTGGTCAGTGTTTTATTTCAATCGAAACCCTGGTCGTTCCCAATCGCCATTTTCTATTACGTTTTGTTCTTCATACATTGAGACTTGAATCGTCGAAGAGTTTATCGTGATATTAAATAATTTAAAACGCCTAATCCTCTTTCTTCGAATAACGGTTTAAGAAAAATCATCAGACTTCTTCCTGAATGGTGGGCGCCTGGGCCTGAATAGACCTAGTAATTATATTGTCCCAAACTAAGGAACGTTCTAGACTCGATCTTAGAAAGTGTTTGCGTCTATACGTTCTTCATCTCATTTATCTGTTGAAGAATAATAAATTGAACAATATGGTTTTTTTTGTTAATTTGAAAGAGGTTGAGTAAGAAAAATGAGAGTGGAATAAATAGATAGATAAATAAATAGAGATAATATGTTAAAATTAGATATTCCCAGATTACTTCATTCATTAAAAAATATTAATTTACTCTCAAGCAAATAAATAACCAATCTTAAATGAGTCAGAAAACCAAGTATTTTTATAATTTCGTGTTCATCTGAGTTCCTTTAAACAAGGAAACACATCGTACTTATATTTTCTTACAGCTGTAAGAAAAATCTATCAAGCTCCATTGTTAGATAATATTTTGTTGGTCTCTCTCTTTGTCTTTTCTCATATCTACTATTCTTTTGCCCTCTCTTAGCTTCTCTTCTCTCCTCTTTTCTTCACGACTCCACTCTTCACTCTCTCTCTCTCTCTCTCTCTCACACCTCGCTAATTACTTAATTCATCTAATTCAACGCAGAACAAAAACACTTAGCAATTCATATTTAAAATAAAAGCTTCAAAAATCTTTAACTCAATACCAAAACACATTGTTCAAATAAAAAGCATAAAATCATTCAAAGTAAAACATAAAGGTCACCTTAATGGATAAAAGACTGGCATACACAGAATTTGTACATCTATTGACTACTATCAAGATAATGATATAACTACTGAATATAATACTACAGATTAGCATTTACCTTATATATTATTTATGTAGATAACATCACATCATGTACTTTTATTTATTACTTATTATCTTTTTTATTACATACTTTTACATTAACTTGTAAAACGTTAATAACCATTTTAGTATTATTTTATTTCATTTTTAAATCTTAAAATTGTGGTCCAATTCTAAAAGGTTCTAATCTAGTTTTTAAGAATCTTACAAAAAATCTATATCTAATTTATATCTAATCAGCAATAATATGCTCTGTATAAAAATATTACTATAAGTTAAACTTACAATAATTTGTTATTTTTATTTTACGTCTGCGCGACTGTAAACAAATATTGTAATTGTAATTACACATTAGGTGTAAGAAAGGTCCTAGAGACCTAACTTTTCCATTAGTTTAATAAATAAATCGTTAATTAATTTCTCTTTCCTTCTCTCTTTCTATCTGTATCTTCTCATTTTAGACCTCTCTGCTCTATGCTTCTCTTCTTAATATTACCTTCTCTTCTCTCTCCTCTTTATATATCTGCTTCAATCACACATCCTTTACATTTTTCACACTACCTATCCATGCTTTAGGCTTGTCTTTGTATAAGTGTGTTTGTATTTGCGATTTTTTGAATTTTTCAGTCACTCTCTCCCTTTCTTAGTCTTTTCTCTCTTATTCTTTTCTTCTTAGAATTCTATTTTTTCTCTTCTGTCTTCTCTCCGTTTACCTTCAACACACGTATTCTAGTTTGTTCATTCACTTTCCTCACTTACTATCTTTCTGTTTATGCTTTTATCATGGTTTTTTTATTTAATTATTTAAATAAAATTAAATTTAATTGGGTTTTGCTGTCTGGAAATTGGGCCAGAGATGTTATTAAAATTCAAAAGTTATTATGTCCATCATTTTGTAATTGCAGTATATTAGCCAAATTTATCTATGAATATATATTTTTTAATTAATTACTTTGTCACAATAGGTTGTAGACCCAAAATATTTCCTCATTTTGTATGTAGTGTAGCTTCACAACCTGGGAGTAAATGAGCTGGTGTGCCCTAGTAACATACAATTAATTAAGGTTTTAAGTTGAGATAAAAAAGTCAGTGTCACGAGTGGGATTCGAACCCACGACCTTCGGCTTGAATTCAAAAGGTGCAGTTGAGATGGGAAGTAAGTGCCCAAGGGGATCGAAGTCAGATAGCTCAAGTGGTTGATTAGCAGTGTATCAAGCCGAAGGTCGTGGGTTCAAATCCCACTTGTGACACTGACTTTTTTATCTCAACTTAAAACCTTAATTAATTGTATAATATTAATCGGTCAAGCGGACCACGAAAAATAGAGAACTTAATAAAATTCTAGTGTTTTTCCGGGGTCCTTTTATGCATTTTTTTTTTTTTTTTTTAGTTAAAAATCTTGCTAGGAGATTCTTGGATTGCTTGTACCCTGTTATCTGCTTATGAGAACTTCCATCTGACAGGACAGTTAGAGCTGTCAATTCTGCTTGTCTTGTAACTCAGTGACTCTGTTTGGATTAAGTAATAAATTATTTTGTAAATCAACCTGTTAAATAAATTGAAATTAAAATTTCCACGACTGTAGCTTATAACTGGCTAAAGCCACAAGTCAATTTGTTAGAACATTTGGGTACTGCCGAACTGCATATAAATAATAAAATTTTGGCAAAGTTGTTTGATATATTTTTACGTAGAAATAGGTTGGTTTGAAGTCATTGATTTATTTTTTACTCCTTGACGTTTTTCCCTTATGTTAAACAGAACTGCAAACAAATCGGCCCATTTGCAAGTCAACCAAGCAAAGAAACACTTTTTGGTTCGTGAAAAGCATTCATTCCAAACCGGTGTCTCATTGTTATTCTGACAAGTGGCTAAGTAGGTAAAGTTTAACTGTCTTGCGTAACTATCCGGTCCAAATTGATTAAATCTCTTTTAACATAAATTAATTTTATGATCAGAAAATATTTCAGATTAACAGAGTAAACATTTTTTTTTTTCTGGTATTATAAAAAGGAATTTATTATCAAACTGAAAATGTTAAAGTAATAATAAATCAGATAGTGAGAAAAACAAGCAGTTTTTAAATTTTGTGCAATTTATTAAAGAATTAAAGCCTAGATTCATTAAAAATAATTTCATAATTTTCAAATTGGCCCCTGGTCATCGTTTCGTTGCGTCACCCTTCCACATTTTTTTTTTAATACTTAAAATGCATTTATAATATGTAGAACATTGAGAATAAAATTGATTTATTTTCTGACAAATGTTCAATAATTTATAAGGATTTTTTGTAAGTCTTTTATAAAGTTGTCTTTAATATATTTGTGAAACATTCTGGTCTGGTAAAAAAGGTGAATTATCAGCATGATCTTCTTCAATTGTACTTGTCTGCTTATTTTTGTTGGGTTTTTTCTGTCAGATACATTTCAGCATTTCAATATATGGTCTGTCTGTTTTTGCGTGAATCGAGTCCGTTAAATAAACCTCTGCGTTTTATAAAGCTAAAAAAGTTTTCTAAGTGAAAACCAATGTTCGACGCCAGGACTTGAGGGTATTGAAGGCAATGAACAGGCTGACAGTCAAAAGCAGAAGCCCTCGCACTTATTGGACCAGAATCACATAATAACATGCTAAAAGTTGAACTGAAATGGATGGAGAAAGAAATGACACACTGGATGAATTCACCAACAAAACGATCAAAAAAGTTCCTCGACATCTCAACAGGACAAAAATCTACCTCTCTACAGCAAGAAGTAAATTTTGCTTGTTCAACCACCACCTTTAAAAAAATGAAAAAAAATCAGACCGAAACCTGCCAAGTGTCTTGAAACAGCAGAGACATCGAATCATGCACAGAAATGGTACAGCCTCTTCAGAAAGACAAGAAGAAGTAAAAAAGGGACAATTTCACAATTTAGGCCACGATGGAAGAAAGGAAGATTATAGTCACCACTGACTCTAGAAAAATGGAAAAATTTTGGGATTTTGAAAGAGGTCTGAATCTGTGGACATGATAGTCAGATGTGGTCAATCTAAAGATGTATTTCTTAAAAAGAAAACCTGTATGTTTTTAAGACTTATTAAAGTTGCAAATTAATAAGAATTATATCAACAATTTATTAACTATGAAATTGATGGCAGATGTCTGCACGTCACACTGTGAAAAATCAACTAACTGACACTGTCACTCTTTTTGCACCATCTTCAGTGAGGAACTGTCAAACAGTCCAGTAAAATATTTGTATTGACAATTTAAATAAATCTTTAGCAAATGTATTTAAAAATTTGATTTTTTATTTTTAAGTGTTTATTTATTTGGATGTAAAATCAGTAAATTTTTGTTTTGTTAATGATCATAAAAATTATGAACAAGTTATTAACACTAAAATGTTTAAAAAAACATGCTAATAGGTGTCGGATATACTGAATGTATTTGATCTTTTGAGAAAGGAAATACCTGACAATTAATAGATAACGTTATTATCTAAAATTTATTATTTATTGTTCTGACATGAATGACGTTAAAAGATGTCAAAGTTTATCAATTAGAGTAGTATAAGATAACTAAAAGTAAAAAAAATAGTTTAATAAAAACGTTCAGTAATAGGTTAATGTACACTTCAACTGTAGTTTTGTTCATGTTGATCAATTTAAATTCAAAATTTAATGTGATATTAGGTTCTAAAAAAAATTATCGTAATGATAAAAGGAACCTTTGTTTTATTTGTTAACATTTACAAATTTATATTCATATTCTTTTTGGTAGTTTTTGACCCATATTTTTATAATTGTACAAAATTTAAAACATTATTATTTGGTAATTATAATTCATCTTGTTATTATGTTAGTAATATTAGTTTGTTCCAAATAAGTCACAATAAGTTGGAGGTGGTGTTTCACAAGTTGTGTAAATATTATTTCTGAACTGTCTCATTCTTCTTCTTCTTCTTGTCTTTATCGCCTTCCAAGAGTAAATACACATAAATATAACTGTTGTCGAAAAAGCTCCACCGATGATCAAGCCGCAAAAAAACGACAAAGCTAGCATGTGCTCTCGGTATCCCAAGGAGAAATTCTTTTTCTTGGTGGTTTCTTCCGGCTTTCTAGTGGTCGTAATCGCCTGTGTTTGATCTTTGGGCTCACATTTGTACTCCTCCTCACTACTGCGATTCTCTTCGTTGTCTTCTTCGGAGAAATACGGATATTTAATTGCGATCAGTTTTTCAAATTTCTTGGTTTCAGCCTTCAAATTTTTTTTACAAGGAGAGCCGATGATTTTCGTATAGTTTGACGCCCAGTTTATCAACGCTCTAGTGTCACCATCGCATTTAATCCCAGTTCTATAAAATATTTTAAAAAATATTAACTTAATTTTTTAACATTTATAACGCATTACATACTCTGTTATGTCAAGAAGTTGAAGAACAAGGGTGTCCAAGACCTTCGTTCTTATTTGAGAAACCCAGGTGTGAGATATATTTAAATGCTTCAAATTTGGTAATGATTTAAAAGCTAATGGATGAAAATGACTGACCCGACAGTTGCTCAAATCCAGATACTAAAGGAAGAAACAAAATTTTAAGAAAAAAATAAATCATTTAAAATAAAATGCGTACATTAATAGAATTGGAAACTAAAAATGATTCAGCCTGAGTTATATATCTTAAAGGGTTTCCTTGAAGAATAAGCATTTCAAGTTGTTTATTAGCTTCAAATGTATTTGGCATGATGTGATAAAGGTGGTTGTAGCTTAAATCCAGCTTCTTCAATCTTCGCATACCGTCGAAAGCATTCAAGCCTATCTGTTGGATCTGGTTGTAAGCCAGGTCCAGTTCCACGATGTAAACGAGCTGCAAGTCCTATAAAACATACATGAAAAATATATAATTCGTTTAATACATACTATGATAATCGTTACCCAAAATTGAAAATCTCTAATTTCATAAATGGAATTGTGAGACAGTTGCAGCCACTGGACGTTTTTCGGTATATCCAAATCGACACTAACGATTGTCTTCCCGACGCAACTTACAAGTCCTCTGCCTTTTGTAACTGAACAACGGCAATAATGTGGGCAATAAATTGACATTACATTTTCGTAAAGCAATAAAAATACAATTAATTGTATTCTGAAACAATACACACTTATGACCATAGGGTTTTTATACAAGGCAAATTCATTTTTATAAGCAATTTAAAAATCTGTCGTTGCATTTTGCTAAATTAGCACTTACTTAAAAGCTATTGGGTTCACTAACACACTTTGCGACTTCATTTATTGCTTCAACGTATAACATTACTGATATTGACTAATTGGCTTTATTCTTATCTTATCTTCTTTGCTCCACCTTTTTAAAATATGAATCATTTAATATCTTTTGAATCAATTTTAAGGTGCTGCACTGTTAAAAAATATAGTTCTTTTAAAGAGAATATCAAATAATTAAACAGACAAATAAAACCTAGCGTTGAGTTATTAAAAGCTGGCCTCATTATGACCTTACACACCGCGCCCAATATTTATTGTGCATCGAAACTTATTGTGACAGAGAAACAAAAATATACATGTGATACATACTATGTTTGTGTTTTCAAACAAATTTGGAAAATTAAGACAGTGAATTTTTTCCTTTGCAGTGTATGCATCAAAATTAAGTAGACATATTGTGACACTTCTCTTGTACTCCAGGACGTCCAGGATACTATAGCGAATAATAATGTAATAATGAGAATATTGTTGCCCTGAGACGTAGATCTTGGATCGCTGGAGGTACCTTCTTCTGATGAACTCCTCGACAGGACTTAACTTCCAAATTCAGGTGATTTCACTGAACTGATCTGAATACTGTGAATACCAAACTGCAGCCATCAACTCTCTGATTCACTTTGGCAGTCTTCATTCCAAGCCTGTCTTAGCCAAGGCTTCAAATTGTGAACCTTGGAAGGTCATCAGCCCTGGATTCATATGCAATCTGGAATGACACGGACCCCAGGTCCTGCTGACAAGGTTTTGTACTTTACGTTGGATAAAGCGGCTGTTTACAAAGCTCTGGATAAGGGCATAGATGTGCGACAATGTAATTTAATTGTGTTTTATTATCCAGGGTTTTGTTCTCTCAGGTTTAATTCAGCAGCCTTGAATGGTTGGTCTGTGTGACGTTTTGAATATGTCCTTTTTATAAATCTGTGAAATGTTGAAGCATGATAATGATAAACAAAACCAGATAACAGATAGTTCAGGATGACCTAAGACAAGATACTTTCTATTAGTGAGATTTATTTTTGAAGCGGGGTGACAACGCAGTTTGGTTCTTTGTTTTTCTTTCTTTTATCCTCGTCCAATAGGCAACTTTCTATTTTGTTATTTATAACAAAATGAAAACCAACTTTTTCAATTTATAAGTTTATTAAAGAGTAATTCCGCTAAGAAGTAATAAGAACCAGCAAATGACTTTCATTGAACATTTTAAAATCTTCATACAAGCAGAAACTAGACTAATAACTGTACAGAACTGCAATTTAAGTCCATACACAGTAGATTAAGTTGATGGAAGAATAAGCATGGATTTAGTAAAGTGTTTTAGGGTTCTGTGTTTTATTTCAAATTGGCTAAAGGTTCAGTCAAAACTAGGCGAACCCTTGAACTTAATAACTGAGCAGAACTGGGATTTAAGTCCACAATGTGGGAGATTAAGTTGATGAAAAATAAACATGGAGTTAGTTAAGGGTTTTAGGATTCTGTGTTTTATTTCAAATTGGCTAAAGGTTCGGTCAAAACTAGGCGAACCCTTGAACTTAATAACTGAGCAGAACTTGGATTTAAGTCCGCACTGTGGGAGATTAAGTTGATTAAAAATAAACATGGAGTTAATTAAGTGTTTGAGGGTTCTGTGTTTTATTTCAAATTGGCTAAAGGTTCGGTCAAAACTATGCGAACCCTTCGACTTAATAACTGAGCAGAACTGGGATTTGAGACTACAGTGGTAGATTAAGTCAATTGCTGGGCCATGATCACTTGGAGGAAGTAAAGCTCATAAAAATAACTTTAAAAAGGAACAACAACAAGCAATAAGCACAGTGTATAAATAAAATTATTTATTTCGATAAATCAACAATTTTAGATAACATTTGGTTCGAAATACGTTGCTGATATGCAATAATAATACTCTTTTATTAAATGGCTAACGCATTTTGTAAACTTTATCGTATCGGATGTTCTATACACCATGATTAATGCGTTGTCTTCTGGGTTGATGTTCAAAAGCTGAAACATTTTTTTTTTCAATATCGTCTTTTTAACAGCAGATTGTCAAATTTAAAAACCTCATTGTCATCATCATCATCATCGTCTGCAGCCAAGTAGCTTGTCGAGCCTCCATTAGTCTCCGTATCATGTAGTTCCTGGGAATTGAAAAAAAGATACATGTCTAGGCCGGATTTTTCAAAAAAAGAATCATTATCCGTTGCCATCGTGTAACAACCTGAAGTCCATCTTTGAACCTCTAAAGTCATTTTTGAAGGGTTTGTATCCAAATCTTGAAATAATAGAATACTACATTGTATTTTTTATTAACTGCTATTTTGTTATTGTTTTATTACTCACCTGATGAAGCAATAATATCAAGACCTGTAATGTTCTTCAGGTAGGCGAAGAAAGAAGGACTTCTCAACAAATTTATCAAGATGTCTAAATTGCCTGTTATTTTTTTCATATCAAGCACATCATATTTCCTATTCAAGGTATTTAAATTTATTATATTTTGATAAGTAATGTATTTTATAATTAAATTGTTCTAGGGAATAACCTTCTATTTGGTGGGCCTTTTTCTTTCCACGTGATCGGTAAATTTTTTAAATTGTTTAAACATTTTTTGAAAAAACTGTTTACAAAGTAATTTTTCAGGAGTATGAAACTGTTGATTTCAAATTCCTTCTGGGCGTCGACAATCACGCTTGGAGTTAAGTAAGTCACGTTGATGTATTCGTCTAAAAATGAAAAATCCAATCCCTGTAAATGTAATTTTTCTATTACAACACGTTTACAAGGGTCGATGCCAATGTTTACCTTTTTTTGATGAATGATATTAGGGAAAGGTTCCTTGTATTTGAGAAAATTTAATTTCCTATCGCTGTGAAACCAGCCGTTGATGCTAAGCCTTTCAAAGTTCTGCGATCTCACTTCTGAAACCTTGTAAAATTGTGAATTGAACTATTCAGTAGTAAACTAGTAAAATAATTACCTGGTGGTATGTATAATTGCCGACTTCAAAAATCAAAAAACTATTTTTTTCAGGAGGTATTGACTTAACTACACATGTTGGCTGGCCGTTTTCTAAAAATAAATTTACAAGAACTTCAATTTGCAATTTGTGATTATCAAGTGATACTAATAAAATTACATAAGTTAATATAAATAATTGGGTGTTAAGAAAAATTCTTTAATACTTACTATTGCTATGGTCAAACATTTCAAAAGCACCACCCATTTCGTTTGTTCCTCCAGTCAGATAATAAACAAAAGCCACACATCGGTCATCACACTTGTCGTCATGACACAGTAGCATATCTAAAAAATATTTGGTCATTTTAAAACAGTATAAATATGGTAGAAAAATAATTCCACACCTCCATGCTTGTAAATAGAAGCAGTTATGCTGAGGGTTTTGTTGAATTTTACTTTTACTATCTTTTCTAGCAATGGAGCCACTTCATTTTTCAATACTTCAATGAATTTTCTGATGCTTATCAATTTAGGGTAATTTTGTAGGTCCCCACTTTGCCAGAGACTGTACAAATCGTTGTTTTTTCGGTCCAGTTCAATTTTTTTGACGTCACCTCGAATTGCGGAAATAAACTCTGGGTCATTGAGGAAATCGATGAATTTCAGAGCTTTAAATGGCTTTGTAATCAGTTCATATGATTCTAAAAACCAAAAAAGTTATAGAATTAAAAACTAATCTAATTAAGGTTGGTGACTTAATATTACACCATCAGCCCACTTAACGCATTCACGCTAATAAGTGCATTCACACAAACAATATAAACAAAATGGAACACAAAATGAGATATATATCAGTCTGCATACAATAAGACAGCCCAGTTTCTTCTTAAAATCTAAACAGGAGTACCAAATACTTTTTTTTTTTTTTTTAATGGATAACTGGAGGAGTAGTCCTGAGCACTGCAGCTGAGCTGTACAGCTTATTGTACTTTATCCCTGGCTCCATATTTTGGGGGAGGGCTCGCAACAGAAATGTGAACTTGAGCCCCCGTTGTACCGATGTTCTTCCATCGAAGAAACCCATTTTTGAAGGGGGTTGGGACCAAATTCAGGGTCACTGATCTCGCCCCTTCCATTGATGAGTGCCGTGTCAATTTCTTTCAATTGTGGCCGCCGTTCCTCTTAGGCGTCAGAAAAAGTCCAGAGGCGATGGTGGGGATCGAACCCATGACCGCAGGATCTACTAGCCGAGAGTCTGATGCCTTAACCACTCGGCTACCGCGGCCCCCCACCAAATACTCACTGCTGTGCTCAAGAACCCAATTCTACTGTCAGGTGGCATCCTTCTATACCTGGTATTCACACTTATAAATACATTTCATATCAATATACACTAAGAAACACAAGATGAGTTATAAAATATTATCTCTATGGAGCTAAGGAATTCACCCTTCAATTTAGTGAGATCCTTCGAACTTTGGCCCAAAAGGAAGTGTATGTCAACCTAGCATGGCTTATTCTTGGGTGAGGAATGATCCATTTTTTTTCATTTCAGATACTCAAAAGGCCACTTATCTTCCGAGCTCTTGACATGTGAGAGCAATCCAGCCCAACACATCAATTTCCTTTTAATCATGTTTTTAATTGCATTTTTAGTACCTCATGGCCGGATCGCTAGCACTGGAGGTTTTGAGGTTGAAACAACCTTGCAATATTTAAATTATGGCATTCCTACACACTCTCTATATAGTGCCAAGGAATGACACCCTTGATATATAAATTTCTCTGTCCATCTCACTGATGCTGCCATTTCCTTTTAATCATATTTTTTATTGAATTTTTAGCATTAGACTGTCGGATTGCACTGGTCAATTCTGGAAGTTGGAACTTATTGACCTTAACGGCCTTTTTTTCATATTTCCTTTTTTAGAGTATCAATAATATTTGTCTTTTATTATATTTTTGTTGAATTAAGGCAATATTTCTACTGAGTATATAATTAATGGGCAAGTCTCATATATTAAGAATGAGAGTAGGTATAGACGAGGTGATTAGTATTGATCAAACTGTGTACTTCACTACAACCAATTAAAACCACCCAAAAGAATTGCACAGTTTAATTTCATAAGATCTAAATGTTTCAACTAACATTATCTTCTAAGAAATTATGCTCTGGGGGTGTTCTTGACTGGTGAGTGCTGAATCTGTGTGCCATTTAATCAATTCTTTAATTGAAATGTATAAATGCAAAATCCAAAGATATACACAAATTTATTAATGAGTGTTCTTTTAATTGTTAACATACTGCATTTACCTAAATTACATGTCAAGATAAAAAAATCTCAAATTTTATTTGTAGAACTGTCGTTACTTTAGCTGTGTAATTTGTTTTTTAACAACCTACACATATATACAAATTGACAGGAATTAGTTCATCCGATATTGACGCCTCCTGGATAAACCCCCTACACACAATATTAAGATTAAAAAAGCATTAGTTGCATGAGATCCGGGGTTTTTGGAAGCTTCACTTTGATGAGGACGGGCTGCACCGCTGACTTTTATAGACTTAAGGCTTAATGACCAACAAGGTTGCAGCCTTAAATTGTTTTTTATTATTATTTTATTATTAGGATTGATCTGCAGCTATTGTGTGTGAACGTTCAAGCTAAGGAAGTCTTTTTGTACATAAAATATTAAAATTAAAGTTCATACAGAAATATTGTAAATACTGGTCATAACTCAAATTTAAAAACATAATGTTTTTAATGTGAGAAAAGGTAAAAATGTTAGTAATAAACAGTATTGCAATAATACCTATGATAGTAATAAAGCAATCACCTGTCAAAGTCTGAGTTTCCTTTTCATATTTGGTCGAAATTTCCTCAACGAACTTGTCGTCGACAAAATTCTGATTAAGAGACATCGTAAAATTAAAATAAAATTATTTAACCATGTTTAATTAGTATTTAAGGGTCGTATAAAGTTCATAAGTTATAAGAAACAGCGTGTTGTCCATAAAAAGTAACCTTCGTCTGTTTCTGATGTTGACACGGTAACCAGCATAGCTGTTACTGCTGTTACCGTTAACCAGCCCCACTCTACCTGAGGACAAGCAACAGATTACTCTGTCCGTTGGTTGTTTACTTGTTTTGAAAAAAAAAAAAAAATAGTTTTAAGGGTTTTTTCGTTTATTTCGAGTAATGGATTTAGAGTTGGACCCTCGAGAGGTCTTGGAGCATTTGAATGCTCTCGGATATTCCAACGTGTCCAAAGAGCAACTTAAGGAATTCATAAAAGGTATTTTACAAAATTGCCAATACTAAAACAGTTTTTTTACATATAAAAAAATTTTGTACATCGCCATGTGTTAAAATTGGAAATTCTTTGCCCATTTTATTTGGGTTCGAATATCTAAATTTTTAAAAATGTAAAAAAAAAGATTTAAGTTTTTTCAAGTCAAGATGCAAGGTATGGATTTGACTGCGGTGAAGTCCATCACTTCACCGTTGGGTGGTAAGCAATCACAATCCCGACTAAATATAAAGTGTAAAATTATATTCAAAACATTAAGCTTGCAAGAATTAATCATTTACAATCAAGCTGTAATAATGGACAAATGCTACATTGTTTAGCTTTAACTTGAAACTAACTAGCTTGGTTGTCTCTGAAGATGTCGAGCATGTTTCAGCATTTTATCATCCTTTTAATGGTGGTCAGATACAAAATATTTATCAATCTCCAAGCTTTCAGGGCTAAAATATATTGTTAATATACACCCAAAGAAAAAAAACTGGCTACTTGTATTTATTTGTTTATTTTCCATTATAACTAGCTACAATATAAAGATTAACAGTTGAAATGAGTGACTGTTAACCAATGATTATTTAGAGATCGTGAGGTGTGGTCTGGTGTGACAACACGGTCTCGAAACGACACACAAGAATGACACATCTACACAGAAAACAATCACTTTCAGCCCTGAAGATGATCTCAATAAAGATCTAAACATTGGCATGATAAAGAAAATGTTTTTCTAAAACCTACGTCTCACCATACCACACCTCACGATCTCCAAATAATCATTAACAGTTGACTTAAAACATAAACACAACATTAATAACTTGTTTACCTTTATAGAGTGTTACTAATCCCTTTACACTCTTTAGATTACCAGTAAAGAAAATCAGTTCAATTTCATCCTTTACAAAATCAACTTGTTGAATGAGTTAAGTTAGTTTTTTGTTTTCTCGCTCGAGCAGATGCCTTGGCCAATGATAGTAGATCTAGCACCTATTGCATAACCCAAGTCCTGGGTGCTAGTTAGTGCTTTCTATGATGATGGTCTGCAGTTTAAGGCCATCAGAAGTCTCAATCGAAGAGAAGGTAGTGGTCGACCATGATGTATGACAGCTAGAGACGATAGTTTTATTGTTCATACCACACTATAGAACCATTATTTAACGGATTCCTTGATGGGTAGTCAACATCAAACAGAAAATTTCATGAGAATAGCCGAGCCCTATACATCACACTTCAGGTTTTCTACAACTGGAGAGGCATCGGGTAAAAAGGTGACTATTCGCAAATCAGCAACTCGCTTGGACACTTGAGCGGTCGGGGGCTATTCTTTCACAGATGAGGGTTTGGTTTGTGGTATCATATGATCAAGACCATTTGTGGAAAACGCTTTTTTTCAAGTACCAAGAGTCACAACCTTTGCAAAGACAGTTATGCTATGGGTTGGGGTGGAATTGACTATGCCCATACTGAACTTTAATGCATGGACATCCTAAGGTACTGGAAGCTGTAATCTCATTCGCTTCATTTATTTGGGATAACTGTACATTAATGCATGATAATGCTGGATGGCATGTAGCTCGAGTTGTCACACATTCCTTTGAGAATGTACAGATTACCAGTTCTCCAGACATGAACCCAATAGAACACTTGAGGGACATGATAAAGAGATGGGTTAGATATTGTTCACCACCTCCAAGAAATTTTGAACAGTTTCAAACTGCTTTTCAGTATGTAATATGTAATTTCTAAAGCTACGCCATGGCACGAAGTATAATTTTGTTTAGTAACACTGGGGATTTCAGCAATGTATGAAATGTGTTGTTTGATTGTTTTTAATTTCCCTAGTTTTATCTAGTTTTGCTAGCTTCTTCTGTCAGATGCATTTTACTTTTTACAGTCTATTTAATTGGCCAAATAATATAGAAAACTAGCAAGATTAGGCTGTGTTGATCAAGGTACAAGGTACGACTGTACCTCAACAGAGTATTTCACAATAAAACATGTTAGGCCAGATAGAAACCATTGAGATTAAAATTGTCATGAATTTTTAATTAATTTTTTATTTTATTTTTTAGATTTAAAAAAGTTGATCAAATATGACACAAGGAAAGGTGATAAAAATTCTTCTGATGGAACAGTTAAAAAGAAGGGTGAATCCGAGTTGGCCCATTCTTTTAAGAGTACCAAATTTGTCATGAAGAAACAATATGCCACATCGATCAATAATCATTTAGAAGGATCGGCCAACAGCAGCACAAGTGATGAATCCTATCAATCAGCTGAAAACACCGACGAAAATGACAAAGAAAATGGTACATATTTTTGAATTTCAACTAAAAACATTCCTCAACTGTGTTTTTATTTCCAGCTATGTCGGTGGGGAGAAGCAGATCAAAAATCAGTTGCACATTACAGTGTTCAAAAAAAAACTGTTCGATTCACGGGTCTGTGAACTCAAAATCATTGCCCAAACGGCCTAACTGTATCTATTGCCAGTCTAATGGTAGACAACCGTCAAAAGAGGGGGGCTTATCAAGTAAGTTTCTATCATTGATTTAGTTCTTTTACCAGCAAGTCGAACAGATTAAAAAAATATTCAGTTGGAGCTTGAAGAAGAATTGAAGCAAAGTTGGAAAGATTTATAACTGTAAAAAGATTATGAATTTCAGATGGAAAGTTTTTCTTGGGATAATGTTAGTTGTCTGGGAGTAAATGAATCTTTTATTCAACATGAAACAAAAGAGCTTCGTAAGTTTTGTAGTTAAACATTAATTGAGTAATTAATTCTCCTCATTTAATTGAGTAATTTTTCTAAAAAGACAACTTTTTAAGATAAACTGATCATTGTTAAAGTTAAAAAAAAAACTCAGTCCATAAAAAATAAACAAATTTAAATAGAATTTGTTAATACAACATTTGGTTTCAAAAAAATTTTTGTTGCTACATATAAAAACTAAATATTTATGTTAGTTTTCTAATATAGTTTGTTTGTAGAAGGTGCAGTAAGTTCAGTCTGCAACTGTCCCAGGTGTAGGCCAGAATATTGTTCAAAGAAAGATGAACTTCCCCCTTGCGGTTCTTGTAAGAAATAGTTTTATTTCCAAATGATAGAGTTGAACAGCGCAAATTTTAATTCATAATCTGTTGTTAGTTATAAGGCCGTCGAGTTCTAGCAGCCGCCAAGGAAAGTCAGACCCTGTTGCTTTGTACCATCGTTACCAAAGTGTCTGGTCACAGCAGAATTTACCCGGTGAAAACCCACATGCGAACCTGCGATGGAAAATTCGCCATAAAATGATGGGGCCAAATGTGAGCATTTTACATTCAAAAATAAATTTTCAAGAGTCTGACAATAATTTTTTTTACAGCCTTCCAAAATAGAGGACCGGAAAGCTAAAACAGCCCCAGACCGACCTCCTTGGGTTGATCCTTGATTCCAATAAACCCCCTTTTTAAAGTTAAAAAATACATATTTTTTCAACAAATTAGCCATGATTGTTAAGACTTTGGTGTAACCTCAAGTTGTTTTATGTTGACTTCTATTTTGAACTGTACATATGAGTACTGGGTATTAAAAATGACTATTGTATATCTATTTTTACCTTTAATAATTAAATGTTATTTTTAAAATGTTTTAATTGAACTATTTGATAACTTAAATTGTATAAATGAATTTTTAAATATTGAGAAGTGGTATGCTTCATCTATTATCTTTTTTCTAGTCATCCTTCATCATCCTGGTTTGCCAATTGTGGCAAGTTTTATGTCATCCAAATTTTATTTTTAGAAATGATAAAGGTGGGGTGTTGTTTAATTTCTTTAGAAGGTAATTCTTACAGTTTGTTTTTTAAAATTGTAAAGATTTTCAAGCATTAAATGCTCATCATCAGGCTGAAGCAGTTAGAAACATGACACATTACATGTTTGTAACTCCTTAAACCTGATTATAAGCATTTAATGCTTGAAATACGGATCATCAAAAAAAAACAAGAATTATCTTTTAAAGAAATTTTGATTTTGTTGATCCTGACCATCTGTAGATAACCAAAAACAACTAACAGACCAACAACAACAAAGAAGAGAGATCATTAATAAAAATTGAAAACAATAAGGGTTCTAAAATTGCACCTTGAGGGATGCCAGGCTTAACAGGAGGGTCAGATGATATTTTATTATTATGTAGTTTGACTTGTTTACTTGACAAATATGAGGATATTAATTTAGAACTAGAGGACGAAAAAACCAAACGAATTTTCAAGTTAACAAAAAAGTAGGTTGTGGTTGACCATCCTGGCAGCATTGGAAAATCAAGTAGCATTAACAGAGTGCATTCTTGAATATCTATGGCTCCTCGTGTATTTTCACTAGTTTTTATTAATTAATTATTCTTTTTATGTAATGTCTTGGTTGAGATGAAAAAGTTAGCGTCACAAGTAGGATTCAAACCCACGACCTTCGGCTCAAAGCGTCGCTGCTTTAATCACTTGAGCTATCATGACTTCAATCCACTTTGACACCAACTCCCCA